CTGCGACATTTTCGTTGTTTGGCGATCATAGCGTCGAGGCTGTGTGTTGTGGACGCGCCCGCCCCGTTGCGAACTGCACCTCGTAAACAAGGAAGCAGGTAGTATACTACTCGTCCCGAAATGACGCCCGGCCCTTTTACAATGTCTAGTCCCACCGGCCCTCTTGTCTTTCTTTTTCACTTACTCTCTATCAACTCCTCTCCAATTACGGCATTACAAACTGCAACCGCTGCAGGGCAACTCGTTCGCCCGCCCTGAAACCCAAGCCAGTGCATTCAACTCTTGCACTTGGCGCACCCTAAAAACCACCCCTTGGGCAATCTTCGTATACCAAAGCCATGGCGCACCGCTCGAGAAGCTCGCGAGACTACCCCGACGGCTCAAGGCACCGCTCGTCGCGCGACCGAGGATATACCAGCGAGAAGCCACGCTCCGTCCCTCCCTCCGATCGCCGTGACAGGCGCGGCTCGTCTCTGCCACAGTACAACCACAATGGACACAAGGTGACCCCCGGCCTTCACCCCGAGGGCGAGAGTGGCCGCAGGGGTTTCAACCCGATCAAGTTCCTTGTCATCAGCGGCAGGAGTAGCAGCACGATGTCTATGCTAGTGAACTGCCTATGGCCCATTGTACCTGTAGCAATTGCACTGGTAAGCGGCACACAAGAGGATATGTTTCTTGTACTAACCGACTATAACAGCACTTTGCGAGGCCCGAATGGCATCTAGCGATCTTCATTACCAACTACATTGCCATGCTTCCTGCAGCCAACTTACTCGGTTTCGCTGGCCAGGAGTTCTCGCGCAAGATGCCAAACAAGGCCTTTGCTGTCGTTCTCGAGACAACATTCGGTTCCGTTGTCGAAGTTATTCTGTTCATGGTCTTGCTCAAAACCTCCAACGGCGACTCAAACGTGCAGGTTATCAAGGCTGCTATATTGGGGTCTATCTTGGCCAACCTGCTCCTCTGCCTTGGTACCTGGTAAGTGTCTGTTCGATGCTCGATCAAGCACTCACTAATTTGCTCCAGTTTCATTGCCGGTGGTGTCAAGCATGACGTCCAAGAGTTCCATAGTGCTGTCTCTGAGAACGGTAGTGGCTTGATGCTCGTAGCTGCCAGTATGTCGATCCTCCTCTTGGCTCGTCAAAGTACCAATGCTAATCTTTATAGCCGCGCTCGTACTTCCCGCTGTCTTCTACGCATACCTCTTCCAAAACCCCGATTACGAACAGACTGTTGATATCGCCTATAACACTCGACTGATATCCCGCGGTGTCGCCATCATCTCCATCGTTGGCTACCTAGTCTACTTGTATTACCAGACCGTATCCCACGATGGGTTGCTCCATGAGATCTACGAGGCAGACGATCACAAGGACAAGGACCGCCACGAGGAATTGGCTAAGCCCAAGCTTACCCTGACCGAAGTCATCGTTGCTCTTCTCGTCTCACTGGCCTGCGTTGCACTCGTCGCTATCTTCCTCGTCCTCGAAATCCCGCATATAGTAGAGCGAGGAGTTAGTGACTCCTTCGTCGGACTTATCCTTATCCCGCTGGTTGAGAAGATCGCCGAGCACCTCCTCGCCATTGACGAAGCCTATGACAATCAGATCAACATGGCCCTTGCCCATGTTCTCGGTGCCTCTATCCAGACCGCCCTGTTCAACGCACCCCTTGTGGTACTGGTTGGCTGGGGTATTGGTGTCGGCATGGACTACAACTTCGCCATCTTCGACGCTGTTGCCCTGGTTCTGGCGGTCCTGGCGGTTGGCTCGTTCCTCCGCGACAGAAGCTCGAACTACCTGGAGGGTGTGCTCTGCGTGATGACGTACGTCATCATCGCAGTATGTGCGTTCTACTTCCCCAACCCTGCACATCACGGTGCTTCCGGAGGCAGCGCTGAGGGTGGCGCTGAGGGTGGCCACTGAAAGAACCGCTCAGATGGCTGTATCTGTAAAGCCACAGGGCTTACTTAAATTGATATTCACACAGCGGTGGTGTTGTGGAGTTTCGTTGCAAATGGGCTGCGAGGAGGATGGTCGGGTTTTCCTATATGTAGCAAGCATCTGTGATGCATTTCTTTGAACAGTCTTTTTTTCCAACAGTTTTAAATAGCGAGCGAGAGATACCAATATGATACACGAGATTGACACTGTTTATCTGCTGAGCAATGTTGGTGATGGCTCCCATGTGCTGCGTTGGCGCCAAACCCTTTGTGACTAGAGTCCTGCGCACGGTCCTCCACACAGATTAGGCGAATAATCGCGCCTGCCCTCCCGACATTTCTACTCTCCAGCGACAATCCAACTAACCCGACAGCCACCGCCCCTTCCCACGACAACCTCTTCTCCCAGCTCACACAACAAGTCGCCAAAATGGGTCGCGTCCGAACTAAGACCGTCAAGAAGTCCGCCAAGGTCATCATTGAGCGTTACTACCCCAAGTTGTCGCTCGACTTCGAGACCAACAAGAGGATCTGTGATGAGATTGCCATCATTGCCTCCAAGAGGCTCCGAAACAAGATTGCCGGATACACCACTCACTTGTACGTGCCGACACTGGGGCTGCGACAATGGCAATGAGGGGCTGGTTCTGGAAGCTTGAGTGGCCTGCGCAGAGCAGCGTTGTGCAATGCCTATGCGCAGGCTCTTGGGCACTTCAGAAGATAGCTCTTCATCCGCCCGCACCGCAGCCACGCTATGAGCAGCGTGCTCTCTCGCACCAAACATCAAGCTAACAACTCGCAGGATGAAGCGTATCCAGCGTGGTCCCGTCCGTGGTATTTCCTTCAAGCTCCAAGAAGAGGAGCGTGAGCGAAAGGACCAGTACGTCCCCGAGATCTCCGCTCTCGACTTCACCCAGAACAGCGAGTCTGGCTCGCTCGACGTCGACCAGGAGACCAAGGACCTGCTCAAGAGCATGGGCGTACGTTACTCTATAACCATACCACCCCAAGCATCTCACTAACACTTCCGATAGTTCGACAGCATCCCCACCAACGTCATCGCCGTCTCCCAACAACAGATTGTCGAGCGCGGTCCCCGCCGCTTCAACGACCGCCCCGCCCGCTCGTAAATACGAATGCGCACGCGCGACACGATGGTCTCCCTTCTTCCTCCTTTCTCGGCTTACTGAAAATATGGTGTCTGGGAAAGGGTCTCTTCTGCCACGACTATGGCATGGTTTTACGGCTATATACGGCGGCATGATGATCAGGAGTCAATGAAACAAAAGGTTCTCCCCCACTAGGTGTCGCTGAGTCCGAGTGTTGCAAGACACGAGGATGATGCTTGATTGCCATTTCCCCTGCCCATGCGCCCTGTGTGATGCGATGGTGTTGTGATGACCAACGAAGAATATATAGTTCAGGTTCAGGTAAGTGAATTTCATTACCGGTCTAAACAGCATTACCAAAAGGGAACGGTCCTTCATACGTCTCGTGATGTCAATAGCTTCCCGCTCAGATGAAACAAATCCACGCACTATCTCAACCCATCGCTCAATGCACGTCCTCATGTGTAGTATGTTGTGTTTATCAAGGCTCGATGAATCTAGTCTATACCATGTGGAGCCCAATTTGCTCGATGAAACCATCATTGAACACATCCCTAGAACGTTGCCGACATCACCACACCGTTCAAGGCCAAGCTCCAGTGTACGTTTTCTGTCTGCCAATGCTACTGCCAGCAACGTGGTCGTCATCCAAATCCTTTGCTCTAGCAGTCTCCGCGGCTTCCTTTGTGGCATCACTGTTGTTCTTCCGACCGCGACTTGTACCCGCACCCAAGACCGCCTGGTGCAGACTACTCCGCTTGTCCGACTCCGAAGTAACAGGACGCATGGCACTCGCGGAGGACGTCTTTGGCGTAGCTGGTACTGCTCTAATCGTGTTGAAACGATACGTTTCGGGCTCGGGTGTCGCGACCCAAGTTGGACCGGGTCCGTACTCTAGGCTTGGACGTGAATGCTCTTGCTGAGGATGTGAATATTGATTGGAGGTGCGCCTCTGATTGTCCATAAGATGTTGTGGAGGAGGTATCGGGGAACCAGAGCCAGTAGGAGATGACGGCGTTGTTGCTTTGGCTGTGCCATTTTGCTTGCGAAGACGATCAATCGAGTAATAAAGGGCGAACATGATGAGGGATAGTGCGAAGAAGACCCCTATAGCGATGCCAGCTATCTGTGTACTGAAGAGAGTCATGGTAGTCTTCGGTCTGCTGGTTTGTAGAGATAGTTGGGTGGTCTTGGAGAGTCGGAGGTAGGGGTGTGGTAAGTCTTCTGTATGTTGGGGACTATGAACGGGGTTTTATCAGCGGAATGAGGAACAATCTGGGAGTGGGTCACACAAACGCATGTTCATTCTGTTTGTGGATGCTCAATGTGGTAGCCGTCGGGTAGGTGCATGTTACACGTAGACCTTTCGAATGCATCTGGTGAGAGCTGTGGTTTTGGCATGACGCGCACTGTAACATCAAGACTCCTAAGTCCATGGCATTTATGCATTCATGTCATGATCATGATGATATTGGAGCTACCTGCAAGACTTAGCACTTGCGAACCTGGAGAGTACGTACATAGCCCCGCCTTCAACTAGGTCTGCCTGAACAAGCTTTTCACAGCCCTCTTCAACCGGCTCTCTCGCTTCTCTTTCAACTTCAGCCATACATATAGCCCTGGTTTTCCCTTCAGAGACCAGCTCAACTTACCCTTATCATCCCTCCAGTGAACCATCCATCGCTCCTTTTCCAACGAGGGGTTTTCGAGCATCAGCTCCCACCTATAGCTCGACCCGCGAAACGGATACACCAGATGAGGGTAGTGAGCGGGAAGTCGACCACACCCACATACCTTCTCATCATGGAGCCTTTTCAAGCGGAAAGCAATCTTCCGAACGTTACACGTCGTCGTCGGAAATGGTGGGTTAAGGACTGAAGCGCGAAGGCACCAGTGGTTTGCCTGGGCATGCTTTCCATTACACATTCCTGGAGCTATGAGGCAATTCATTGCTGTGACGAGTCCAATGATATTGCTGTATGTTGTTCGGATGCGATAATGGTCGGATGCCACAGAATCGCTTGGAGGATAGAGGGGTGCGGGCATGTCCTGTACTTGGCTCATGTAACGCGCGATTTGTGCCGGATTCAGTGTCTCAACCATCTGCAAGACATCGTCTTCACCCTCTAGGTCTTCCAATCCGATGGTCAATCTGGCCAGGTGAAGCTCTAGTACTGGTGCCATGGCTTGCAGAATGCCCATTATCGTAGGCCGATCGAGCATTGCCCAGCGTGGTATTCCGATCGTGAGGTGCATCAGCGAGGCGAAGGTCGTCGGCCGGAGCGGTTGTAGCTTCATTGGCGTTGCGTTGACGGAGAACTGGATCGTGCGTAGGATGGAAGGGGCCAGGCGGACGGCTTCGGAGGTCATCTCGTTGTAGATTTGGGGGCAGGAGAGCATGAGCCCGATGTATGTCTGGTAGGGCGCGTTTGGTAGGAAGCCATCGGGGGCTATGTGGCTGTATATGAGCAAGCGTATCTCCGCTGGTAGTGCAAGCAAGTGGCATGGCGTCGCAGCTGTGGCTTGGGGACGCCTGTCTCGACGTTTGATCAGCTTCATGTTGTATTGGGTCGATGGTGGCGTGCCGTTAACGTAGAAAGTGGAACGAAGTTGCTTGCGAGGCAGGGACTTTTCGCGTGGTAACAAAAGCTAGTTGTGGAAATATCTCTTCGTTGCTACTGTCTCCTTCACTGTCAAACGCCCATCAAAGTAGCGTCTCCCGTGCCTTGAAAGACTTTTGAATGCCATTAATTCGGCGCAAACCAGATCTCAGCGTCACCATGGATACAAACTCTTGAACAATGTAACGGCACGCTTGATAAAAGGAGGCCCAGTGCTTTCAGCTCCAATTTTGTCATCTAGGTTCTCGCGTATACCCTGAGTGTCCTTCCGGAAAGGATACCATTCCGATCCAACGGAACCATGATTCTTTCAGGCTATCAGAATAACCGAGATCGCTCCAGAGAAGATGTGTTTTCTAGACGGCATATGCTGCTGCTGTTCCCAGGAATGTGGCACGTAAGGCAACCAAAGCTGGAAGCGACAACTTCCATAGATGGCGAAGAGGACCAGCGTACTGTAATCCACACATATTCAAATCAATATTTTCGCAATGATGACATGTAAATCTGGATCGAGGCGAGTGTACTGAGCGCAGATGAGATGAGGATGACAATGCAGGAACGCGACAGGAAGGGGTTCATCACTCAAGCGCACCCCGGGCGCACACCAACGCGTAGCGATGCGGTGCAGGAACGTATAACGCGTCGCAGCCATTGCTGATAGGAGAGAAGCTGACAAGATGAAGCACTCAATGGATGTCCTGATGGAAGGTTGTGAGCGGAAGCGCTAACTATGACGTTCACCCGAGGTTCCAAGATTGTTGGGGCCGAGTCATGTGGGTCACGTGTCTTTCCAATGCTCACCCCGAATTTACTTGGCACGCTAGCGACGCGAGCGTGAATGTTTTTGCCTACCGCCCTCACGCTCCGACAACCCAACCACCCCGCAACCTTTTGACCCGGCCACGAACCTCACCTTACAACCCCATCGAAATCCATCGAGATCTGTTTCCTTTCTCATCCATACTGATCCACAAGTAGACAATTTACTTCTTTCGGTATATCAGGTCATATATCGCGCTTGGATCACTATGTCACCTGCCGCGATCAGCCAGACCGCTGTTACCTCACCTTCGCCGCCACAACAACCCCACACACCGACTTGTACGTGTAAACTGTGGAAATATCTCTTGACCATGAACTAACGTGCCGTACAGCGAATGCTATACCTGCATCAAAACATTTCGATGACATCTTCCACGCCAAGTTCATGCACATCATCCAAGAATGGAAGAATGATCCATCTCGCGGCCAGCTAACTCAGAAGGATCGAAAGACCTTTATCGAGAATGCCTTCTTTGAGACCGATGAACTGTATTTCGGCCGGCGTATGATGACTGATCTTGAGATCAAGCTTCGCGCCCTTACCAAGGTCTTCTACAAAGTCCTCGCAGAAGAACCCTGGTCCGAGGATTGGATACGCGCCCCTGATGTTGAGCGTAAGCTTTCCAAGTTTGAGATGCACGAAGATTCCGTAGCTCTCGCCAAGGAGTATGGCTTTACCACACCTCGTGAGGCTGTCAAGGCGGCTCGCGAGGCTGGTATCAAGAACGCCGAGACTTACAAAGAGGCTCAAAAGGAAGGCAAGACACTCAAGGACATCAAACTCGATCGGGGCCCGTTCGACGATATCGAGATTGTCTACATCGCCGGCACGGTCTCGTCATCTGCTACAAGCAAGATTGACCGTAGTAGCATCTATCCAGTTTCCGTATCTTCAGTCGCCAATGTCCTTCAGAACCATATCTGTAGGGACATGGTTAGACCGTTCTCAATGGCTGAGCGCTTCGTCAACTGCACCGACACCAAGGAACTTGAAGACATGCGCCGCTTCGCATGCAATGTCTGCGATTTCTGTCCTCATCTTCTCGACAACGACAACGTCAGCCTTCTCGTTGTTCTGCTTATCCTGTCGCGTTCTGACTGCTGTCGTCGCTTTGAGGCCAATGGCATTCGCATTGAAGGTTCCACGATTAGTCACCGCAAGGCTGAGTGCATGAAGAACAAGATGGGCTGGAAGACATCCGAGGACAAGAAGCCCTACGACAACTTCGCTCAAGAGTTCCAGACCCGTGTCAAGAATGCTTGCTTCCCAGCTCCCCGAGCTCAGCGCATCGGTGGTCGAAAGCCGCCGCGCAACTCTTCTGGCCCAGCGACCCCTCCAATCTACGCCCAGCCTCATATGGGTTACGTCGCGCCTCCACAGGTTCGCACCGACCATGCAAATACTGGTATCAACGTTCCTGCTCCGCCTGCACAAAACAGTTTCGCGCAACCTGCTGTCCCAACAATCAAGGACCAGCGTGGTCGCGAATCAACTGGTGCCGGTAACAGTGCCGCCGAACCCATGGATCTTTCCTGAATTGTTTAGCGTGTCATCGACGGGCTTCGCAAGCTCATTTTCAAGAATCATTACTGCATGGCTAAGGCGTTCTTTAGGTACCTTGGGGTCTGCATATGGGTTCAAAAACGGCGTTCCATGCATCATGTCCGATTTACCTACGTGGTTGCCATATTCTGCATGCTTCAGTGTACTCATCGTCACTTTCCTGTAAATAGTCATACTGTCAGTATATAGCCATCTAATCCATACATATCTGAATGCAGAATTCAGGTCATACAACCGGGGCATCTTCCAGTAGATGTTCGTGTTTTGAAACAAGCTACACTGTGGAGTTTGCAAAGGATGTTAATGTGTCATCGCATTGTTATTTTTATTCGACAACAAGTTGAAGCTATATTACATCATCGCGACATCTCGCCAGCATGAAGTGTTGCTTTATTCCAGCTGACTCCACTCGTGGAATCAGCTAGACTGCCAAGCCAAGTGTGTATCAAACTGACTGCGATGCGGCTCGGACGTCTTTCCGTTCAACAACTCACTCACTCAAGAGATCATCACAATGGAGCTCAATAACTTCGAATTCCTAGCCTTCTTCCTTTGCTCAAGCATTTTCGGTCTGCTCTCCGCAGTCTGGTCTACAGTACGTCAATTTGAAGCACTACACTAGCGTCTCATACTAACAGCTCCAGACTGAACTCATCAGCGATCGTGAGATCGTTCTCTTGATCGGAGTCTTTGTCGCAGTCGCGATCGCGCTTCTCGCGCGTCTATCCACCAGCAAGGCGCTCACCAAATTCCTCACGATCGACGTTGACGGGGTACACGAGAAACAGCTTCGCGATCTCAGTGAAGCGCATCGTCGTCACGTCGCGAGCGTAAAGCACGAGAGCAATCGCGAGAACCTTCGCCTTCGTAACGACATCAACTACGCTGCTATGAAATTCGACCGCCTATACAACGAGCACGACTACATGTCTAGCATGTACCAGCAGCAGATGCACCACACTCAAGAACAAGACGACCGCATCGAGTACCTCGAGAAGAAGCTTCAAGAGTTCGGACAGTCTACCCCCGTTACTCGCGCTCCTTTCTCCGCGCCGCACTCTCAGATCAGCTTCTCGCTTCCGCCACGTCGCCAGCGATCTGAGGAGGCCTTCAACTACGTTCCTCTCAAGGGCTCACTGTCTCAGGTTGTTGAGAGCAAGGATGAATAAGATTTGACTCGTGTTCGTCGCTCGTGCGGATTAGCACGGCCAGGCCGCCTGATACATAGCTAGATGATTGGGAACGCGCTGGTGAGACGAGTGCAGGGCGGTCATCGATTTGGATATCCGTACTAGACTAGATCTCATAGGATACCAATGAAATGGGTTTATCTCAAAGCCACAGCTCACTTTCGTGTGAAGCGCAATGTTTTCGACGTGGCAATGCTGTGCCCACAATGCAAGTGACCAAGTCGGGTGTCTCATCTGCGCCATGGAAACACTAGTGTTTGCACAAACCATTCGCAACGCTCGTCCACGTTCGGAACTTATAAGCATGTAATATTTCTTACGACAGCAACTTCTTTAACACAACTAATTCAGTCATGACGGAAGAAGAGAGACGTACGCTCATGAGCGCAGATATTCCCACGATCCAAAAGATACACACTGCCATCGCCGCTATCCAACCAAGCACGGAAATGACGCTCTTTCAACAGCGTAGGCTTCTCTATCTCTGTTTGCGTCTGAAAAGCGAGATAGACATACCTATCGGATGGTGGTTGATTGAAGACGTAGAAAGCCCAATTTCTGATTCCCAAGTCTGGCGCGACGTTGATACCGAGCTTGGTATACCAGAGTCAGAAGATTATTCCTACTCGGTAGCGTATCAGAGCGCAGGGGTAGAACAGGATGGAAATTCTCCACCTCGTAGTAGCAGCAGAAGTCTATCGAGAGGGAGAAGAAGGACGAGATGAGGCTGTCTAGTGATGTTGCGAAACTACAGAAAAAATGAAAGTAAGCGGTGGCGCGAGATCCATGGGTTGAGTGTGGTTAATGGCTTGAGTATGAATTACGAGTGCCATATGATCATCGAATGAACGGTCAATGAAGAGCCCTGTCGTCGGCAATCTAGTCACTTACACGCGTTCCATTTTATTGAAGCCATGTCTTATTCCCAAAGCCATGTCCGATCCACCTATCCAAAGAAGGAGACAGGGATTTGAGCTTGAAGACTGACACATGAGTTGCGGTGATCAATCACATAAGCTTGTCATCTATGATAGACTTTGGTATACTGATTGTTTTACGTGCCACATCGTGAAGGAACTTGCCCGCAGCAAACAAGTTCAGTATATCAGCGCAAGATGAGAAGCATCAGAGCACCATCAAGATCATTCAGCTCGTCACACCGCTCCATAACATGGCATCAGAGAACCTCAGCTACCCCTCAGAGAAGGCCGCCGTCATCAACAAGCTTTCTCAAGCCATCAAAGCGCTCGACACCAGCGTTCCCGCCTCTTTCCAACAGCATCGCCGCTACTTATACCTGCTTGAGCGCCTCAGAAACGAGATAACCGACCAAGTCAATGAGTGGAAAGGACAAAGCCCTGATGCTCCACCCTACAAGACTTTCAGACTCGGGGTTGACGCCGAGTTAGACATACCAGTCGATCCTTACCAGGAGACACCACCTCCGAAGGCGGAACTCTGGACACCGAACCAATCTTGCCCAGAATGTGGGAAGCCTAGATAGTGCAGGGACAATACGTAGGTGGCAGTCAAGTCTTCTGAACACGTAGCTACGGGCAGCACTTGCTAAGAATGATGAGTGTTTCGTAGAGATGTTTTCGTGATATGCCATAAACTTGTCATTTCCAATAAATACGATACATGCGCAAGGAAACAAGGGTATATGTCTAATCAGGGTACAGGGCGGGTGGCGTAGATAACAGTGCTGGTGGAAGGGTATCATAACAAGAACAGACGCATACTGAACTCCAACAGCAGGAAGCAAAAGCAATAAACAGTTGCAGACGCATGACCCGAGAAATACAAAGTGACATGAAGCTCAATGCTTCCTCTTTGATCCTTTACGACTCAAACCGGTGCGCGATGCGTATACAGGCGGGTGATCATCCGGGCTTTCAGAGTCTGTTGCAAAGGCATCGACATAGCGAGATTGCATGGATGGACGACGACCATCGCCTAGAGGTCGGGCAGATGGAAGTGAACCCTCGACGGTGCGCAGATCCCATGGGTCTTGCGATGCTGACTGCGGCGACATCATCGTGGCTGCTGCGAACGGGTTGTCTTGACTGATGGATGGACGCCTAGCAGATGGCGGCCGAGCGTAATCTTGGTTGAAGTTCGCTGGGAAGGATAGCGGCGGAGGCGCGCGTTTCCTCGAGCTGGAAGGCCTGTAAGACTCTGTAGGCACCTGAGTATCGAGCACTGGAGGGCTTGGCTGCGAGACACTTGGACGGCGCTTGCTGGGAGTGCGAGTCAATCCAGCGGGACGCGTGTTAGAGGTAAGACTGTCGTGGCGAGCCATCGACTCGCGGCGTGTGGAGAGGGAACGATCGCCGCCACGCGGGTCCCAGTATGCAGCCGGCTTCTCTTGTTGGTTTTTACGGGCTGCCAGCTCCTCCTCTCGCTCCCTGGCCTCTGCAATCTGCCTTTCGCTCCGCATCTGTTGTTCCTCGGCTTTGATCAAGCGTCGTTGATCTGCTAGCTCAGCTGACGTCATAGAGGAGGATTGTCTGCGTGATGCGTTCGGCCGCTTCTTCGTATAGTCGATCGTTGGAGGGCTTGATTTCTCCTTCTTACGATCTTGGGCCTTCTTGGCTTCCAAGTCCTTCCTCTCTTGTCTGAGGCGTTCTTCCTCCTTAACACGACGAAGTTCTTCCCTGGCCAACGCTCGATCTTTCTCCTTCTCAGCGAAGAGCTTTTCTGCCCTCTCATTCGCGCGGCCGTCTGCACGGGCGGGTTCGAAATGTACGCGTCTGGCAGTATCTTCTCTGTCACGCTCATCAGCCACCCGTCGGTCAGACTCTTCTTGATGCCGACCTGACTTGGATTGCCTTTGTCGCTCGTCGCCAGTCTTGGTGCGACGAGCGCCTTCAGGTGGGCCCGAGCTAGTGTAAGACGAGCTCGAGTGATCAGCAAAGGCGTCGTAGTCGAGTGGATGTGGGCGGTCTGATGTGTACGTCTCTCGTGGAGCAACCCTGGCCGTCCGGTATGGATCAGATGACATACCACCCTGACGCTGAGGCGGCGAGGACGGAACAGCAGTAGGTGGGTTGTGAATCACCGTGGAAGAGCGTTTTGTACTTCGCTGCCTAGCCGGTGGGTCGTACTCTGCGTCCGACGCGACGTAAAGCGAGGGTGTCTGACTGGAAGACGCTGACGGAACATGGCGAGAGCTTTGACCGTATGGTGCAGTAGGAGTTGTAAGGTAGCTGCTGTGATGATCGAAGGACGCTGGTGGAGGCAAGGGGGCTTCCGGGAAACCAGTTCGGTAGGTGTAGGAGGCATCAGAGCCTACTGAATCAACAGCGATATCACGAGATCCAACAGAGCCGAGTGAAGACCGATCGTAGGGCTTGGTAGAGACCGAAAGTAATGGGTATTTCTTGCCTTTGTTATCTTTCTTTGAGCCAACCTGTATGAAGATCTCGCTGCTGATCGGTCGTTGGCCATCCCGAGTTGAGGGACGGCTACCACTGCCAGACGGACGACGTGTTTGAACCAAGTATGTTGAAGTGGTGGGAGTTGGTGGATTCGTCGGAGACGGTGTGCCCATGGAGCCATTTCTAGGAATGTATCGAATGGGCACGACGATTGCGTCTCGGCATGGTCTATCACCACGTGCTTTCGCACAAAGGCAGGCTCGCGTAGATGTCAGGGGTCGCCCATCAGGGGTGAACTCCTCGCGCTCCTCGATCCGACACATGATGGCGATGTGTAATGGGTTAAGTCGGAGTTGATAGATATCCTAGAGGCGAGGATGATAATAGAACACCTTGCCTCAAGCTTTAGTCTTGGGCTGGATGCTCTCGGTGAAGTATGATGTCAAACCAGCTTATCCGGGGTAATGAACCCGTCGGGGGATAGGCAGATATGGAAGTACCGGACGGTAAGGATGTCTTGATGACGTGTGTATCCAGATCACACAAAGTGTAAACTGATCAGGATACGGGTCGATTTGCGTAGTTTGGATGTTTTGGCGATATTGGGGAGACTGAGGGTATTTGAGGAACAGGTGACGGCCCGACTAAGACAAGCGGCAAGTAGGATGAGTGTACTCGTAGATTCAAGGACACATGGGCCGAAAAGCGAAAGAGTCAGAGCGGCGAAGGGGTAATAATAGAGAGGATCATGTGCAGGGAGCTATGCAGCTTCGAGGAAAGTAAAGTGCAGCCCTACTGGGCGAGGGTTCCTTTTAAGTGCAAGGCGGCGCAGGTTGTAGCCTGGAAAAGTGCACAATGAGTGGACAAGGAGCAGATTTACCACAGATGACCGAAACGGGCGGGCAGAAAAAAAGTGCCAGTGCCAGGCGGCCGCAGCGGCAGGCAGGACGGAATGCATGAACATGATCCGGGCGTCTTTGGGGCCATTCCTTAGGGCTGCGCAGCGGTGAATTGCACAGCCTGCGAGCGACCGAAGACACCGCCCAGCCGCGAGTGGGCCGTGGTTCTGACCGGTGCCCTGTGCCTGAGGGTGATGAAGAGGGAGACTGACCCGATGCAATTGGGGAATTGGAAAAATTGTCGCAACTGGTAGCCGGTTTGCGCATCCGCGCGGCCGCACAACCTGTCTCAGACTCGATGGGCAGCAATAAACTGCCGGTGCTCGAGCGCACCCCGTCCTCCCCGTCGCCGTCCCCCAAGCTCGGTTTTAGTCACTTCGCCTGATGACATTCTCCTTTGATGAAGACATGGAGGCCGTGCTAGTGCTGTTAGCGATGAAAGAAATCCGGATCGCCAGCTCTCAGCTGGAAGACTGGCGAATGATGGTAGGGGCTATGCAGTCATTCCCGTGTCGTGAGGCAGGCGGGCCTCCATGCCAGGCACCAGAAGCCGGGCATTTTGCTGATCGGCGCCCAATGCCCGACCATATTGCTTTGCCTCGAGTAGTGATATGGATAGAGGGAAGGGTGCTTGGCCGCTCAACTGGCTGTGGGGCATCACGTTGCGGCGGGCGCTAAAGGGAGACGGGATGCACCCACG